CTATCTCTCACCTGTCCAAACCCCAATCTTACAGAGGTAGACGGAAAAACAATGAAATGTGTTAACTGTTGACATCGGTACTGCTGAGGGGAAATGTAGCTGCTCTACAGCATGTTGCAACAGTTAACTTTCAGCTAGTATACCATTATATACTCAGATTTCAAGAAGCATTTTTCTTCCATTAATGAAGATGTCCTCAAACTTTTAAAATAGAGGGCCAGGTCTCAGTCCCTCAAACTGTTGGAGGGCTGGATTATAATTTGAAAAACAACAACAAATGACTGAATTCCTATGCACATTGCACATATCTTTGTAGTGCAAAAAACACTTTAAAACAATAGAATAATTAAAATGAAGAATTTTTTAACACATTTAAACTTATTGGTATTTCAATGGAAAGTGTGGGCCTCTTTTGGCTGATGAGATAGGATTGCTGTTGTTGTTGTTATTGTTGTTGTTGTTGTGTGCTTTCAAGTTGTTTCAAACTTAGATTGACCCTGAATGAGGGCCATGTAAATTACCTTGGAGGGCTGTATCCGGCCACCGGGTCTTAGTTTGGGGACCTCTACATTAATGCCTCGAATTTCTGCAAATATTACAAGAGCAACAGTTATCACTGAATTATCCATGACAATTTCAAGGTCATTTTCTGAGTCAGTCACTAGCAACTGAGATTCCATCAATGTATTTGTTACGTTAGGGTTTACTTATTTATTTGTTCCAATTTGCAAAACTTTTCATTTACTACACTGAACCACATTTGCCATTTTATTGCCCACTCACACATTCATAACACTGGTCTACTGCCCACCCATGGTTCAATATAATCTCATCTATTAAAGCAAAGCTCAGGTAGCAACCTTATCCTTGTTAAAAACAGGGGAGTTCTACTATACTGATCCTCTTAGATCTCGAAGTCGGTTTTGATTAATTATGTTATTTTACTGGACAAACTTTGTGGATTGGGAGTAGGAGACACTGTGCTACAGTGGTTTTACTCCTATCTACAGAGACATTCCAGAGATAGTATTAGGGGAATCCTGTTCAGTGTCATGTCTATTATGCTCTAGCATTGTACAAGTTTCCATTCTACAATAACTATATGGCGCCACTAGGTGAGATCATTAGAAGGTTTGGGGTGGGTGCCATCAATACACATAGGCTATCCAACTCTACTTGTTCTTGTTGTCAGAATCAGCTAAGGTTGGACTCATACTTCGATACTGTAATAACAGTGAGAGCCAATAAACTGAAGCTGAATCTTCAATTCTTGATTTTTAGGTATGGAAATTAAATGAGGTATCCTACCTGAATAGGGTTCCACACCACTAAAGAAACAGGAATATTCCAGATTGTTCACACCGCTTAAGGCCAGCTTTGACTGGTCTGTCAGGTACCACCATTCATAGACAGGGACAAACTTCATATTGATCATGTTCTGATTAGACTACCATAGTGGGCTACCCCTGCAGATAACTTGGAAGCTGCAACTAACACAAAATGTAGCTATTAAATGTATCATTGGATCATTGCACAAAAACTGCATGCAGCTAATTTTTAAGGAATTGTACTGGCTGCCAATATGATCCAGATCCGAGTTCAAGGTGCAAGTGATAATATCAAAACCCTGAGGAGGTTGAGTCATCAATACTTGAGAGTGCTACTCTCTATGTATGTCTGACCAAGGACTGAGGTCTTCTGAGGGTTCCACCTCTGTGTCCCAGAAGTAGGGAAAATACACTGTGGGAGGATGGGGGAGAGACTCTTCCCTGTGTAACATCCAGATTGTGTAATGCCACAGTCTGTGACAGACCTGATACTAGCATTCTGGCACCAAGTAATAACATGAATCCTGATAGAGTTCAACCAAATCTGCATTTTATTTGTTTTTTCATTTTCCTAAGCTCTTTTAGCTGTCTTGATTTGAATCTTAGTTGCTTCTAGTTTATGTCTTACTGTTTTATGTTGGCCTAGTTATTTTTTTTGCTGCTGCCAAAGAACATGATATTGGGTTGGATATAAATATTTAAATCAGTTGACCAATCAATAAATCTAGTTGATTATTTTTTACATATTTGTCACCAAACCTCAACAGTACCTCTCCACACCTCCTGCCAGTAAAAATACAAACATAAAAAAACTAAGTGTTGGACTATCATGACACCAACATCTACTACCCAATGTAGTTGTCTCTTACCACCTAATAGTAGGGTGACCCTAGGAAGAGCTTCACTTTCAACAACACGGCTTTCAAAATTAGAAGGGACACAGTCTGTCATATTTTACAGTCTTTCTGACAGAAACATTTGGCTCTAATTTCTTACATTGAAATAACTGATACTCACAAGTGCTTAATTTGGACCAGATTGTGGTAATGCTATTAGAATGAAGAAATGCTTTTCAAATTGGCTTTCTTTATCATGCTTATTTTCAACACACAAATTAATGTGATTGCAGTATGAGGCTCCAGTATAAATTTGCAAGTCACCCCCATCCTCAGTTATTACTAAAGAGAATATGTTTTCTGCCACAATAGGAATTGCCCCTTTCCTTCCTGTATCATAATTGACAGATTTGACATTTTTATTGAGGTACTGGCACAGTGAAAGGAATATTTATTTAGTCTTGATATGCCTGAAAAAAACTTCATAGCATTAATCAGTCTTCAGGCCGCAGAAGTCTCACTGGTATCTTTTGGTTCTGGTTATCAGTTCTCTGACAGGCAGGAAGTGCTGTCTTATCCATTTTTATCTTGCATAATTTCCCCGTTTGTGGTGTTGATAATAGGTTATTTCATGTGTATGTGTGTATGCAGAGTGGTTGAAGTTGCCAATAGCATTGCTTAAGTCCCGGTTAGAATTCACAACATTGCAAATAGATATAGTCTGGTATTAAATGCAAAACAATTCCAGTTGAAGCACCTATTCCTTTCAGCAACAGTGTGGCACTACTATCTCCTGCCATCACCCAGCACCCTAATAGTAGGACTGGATCATAATGAAACAGGGCCACTCTCAAAATCAGATAGTTTCTTAGCAGTCCTAAGTATTGAGAATCACATATACCCTGTTTTCTCATGTACAACTCTCTACGTTTTAGAAAAAAATTAAACCCCCCAAAGCTGAATTGACTTATTCATGGGTCACCATACCTTAACATAAAAAGGGGAACTACGCCCTTTTCTGAGTAGCGTTGTGTAATGAAAACTACCTTTCAGTCGACTAGGCTGAAGCCTACATGACAGTGGCTGTCATCTTGGCTGGCAGGCAGGACAGGAGGAGGAGTCAAGCTGACTCCTGATTGGGTATAGCAATTGGGGGAGGAGTCGGTTTAGAGAGGGAAAATAAGCTGCCAGATTTTGACAGAGGAGAAGGGTCTTGACTTAAGACAGAGAAGGTTGAGATTTCAAGATAGGAAGTTACAGCAGGGATCTGACAGAAAAGGAAGAGCTTTTAGTGAGCCTTAGGTTTAGGGAAATAGGCTGAGACAATAGGCTAGTATTTTACTGTGTGTTGAGAGCCAGTAAAAGAAAGATTTGTCTCCAGAGCTTACTACCCTGTGGTGGAGACAGATAGGGATCTGTTCTCCAGTGATACTGTGTCTAAAGATAGAACAGTATGGTTAAGGAGTCTCACAGTTGTTAAAAGCTTTTCTGTCAGGGGAACTATTTGTTTAGTAACCAAGTTTCTGCAACTGAATCACGCTTATGTACCACTCATTTCTATGGGTTGTTGTTAATATTAAGTTCAATAAACTCTTTCTAGTTAACTTTTAACTGGTGTATGCCTCAATCTATCCATTCCCTCAAAACTCATTCTGTCAAACCATTTTAAAGTCCAGTCATCCAGTGAGGAAGTCATAGGAGAACCAAGAGCTCAAACACCCCTTACCTAAAACACATTCACACCTTTGGTTCCTCAGGCCAATAATTCTGAGGTGGTGGCGGCTAATACTACCAAGAACATTCGGTCACTTGTATATATAACATAGGGTCAGCCTTTAATTTCGCTATATTGGTGGCAGCGGTGTGATTGTTTGTCCACTCTGCCCCAGACATCGTTTAATTTCGTTATACGTGGTGAAAGGCTTCCTGGAGGAACCCAAAAAAAGCACCTACCCTCACTACTCTCACCTCTATTGCACCACTTCTGGCCTTTTTGAATGCCTGAGTGGAGAAATGCCCCCCTAAAATAGCATTGGTGCTGCCCACACTCCATGGAGTGACACTCAGTTTATCCACTGGTCTTACTGAAATCCACAATTTTGGCTCCCAAATCCACCCTTGATTTATACATAGGATCAATGTATACATGAGTATATACAATGAATTCACAATGGGAAAGGCAATTCAATACTCCTACCTCAAAAAACTACCCCTTGAGATTCTAAGATATTAAAAACTGGGAATCAAGAGGTTAAGCAAATCTAAAGTAATGCATCTTGTTGTATGGAAAAGCGATTTCTGGGGTTCATTTGTGTTTATCCCTGCCTTTGTGGGAAAGCACACATTTCCTGCTGAAAGATGGTTTATGCAAAAAAATCCTGGATTTCGCCTTTGTATTCAGGTGGAGAGGTGGAGAGGGGGTTGCTTATGCCCCAGAGAGAGAGAAAATAAAGAACGAATCATCTAAAGAAATTGGATCTTGTGGGCCATGTTTGAGTCTTGTAGTCTATTTTATGATAGAACAGAAATCTGACCTGCCCATGCCCAAAACCCGCCATTCTTGCTATATGAGGGTCTTGAATTATGGCAGTAATCTTAGATGAATGGGACTCCTAAATATTGTGTTCCGTAGCAACTGTGCAATATAGTGGTTTGCTATCTAGTTAAACTCAAATTCCATTTAATTTGTCTGAGTCATTTCATATGTTACCTTAACTGTGAAAGTGTTTGTAAGAATGGCAACAATAGGAGAGTCAGGTAAATAAGTATAGCAGCTTTTCTAAATAAGAAATTATTGGACAGACATAAATAATCCCATTTGTTTGTTTCACTGCAGACAAAAAAGAAGTGAAGGTGGGAGAATATAATGCCATCCTTGATTCGCTGGAAATCATCAACAACTCCATCAAATTCCAGGGTAAGACAAGAATATAAAAGAAAGCACATGAATGGTATTACAGATTTCTATGTAATTTTTAGTTTGCATGCAATGCAATGTGTAGAAATGTTTTGGTACTGCTACTAGAGAAAGATCACTGAAATAATCCATTGACTATGGTTTAGATTCTCAACCAAAGTTCCACCCACCCAATATTTTCTGAGTAATGCAATACCAAGTGAAAAATGGACAGAAAGAATAATAATAATAATAATAATAATAATAATAATAATAATAATAATTTAAAAAAACTTTATTTACACCCCCCTCCCCCACCATCTCCCCAAGGGGACTCGAGGTGGCTTACATGAGGCCAAGCCCAACAACACATCAAGAAAACAACAAAGCAGTAAGCAAATAAAACAATACAATTAATATAACTCACATATAGGCAATAATACAAAAAAAATTAAAACCTATGGCTAGGGCAGATGTAATAGATTAAAATTTTAAAATAAACACAGGGCATGAACAGAGGTAGGATGTATTAAAGGTAGGAGGGTTTTAAAGGATAGTGTAGGGAGATCAATATATTGTGGAGTCTTCCCCATTTGCAGCAATTGCCCTTTGGGAGGTAGATCATCTCCCACAAGCACTGGAAAGGCTTCTTCTTTCTTTTCCCCCTCGTCATCTTCTTCCCCCTGCAACCATTTCTGGTCTTTCCCTGAGGTCCACAGCAGAGTCTGATCACATTGACTAGCATCAGCTCCTGATCTGAAAGCACAGGTAATCTTGTGAGTTTAACAGATAAGGTCTTCCATGTCCGTTGGACAGGAAGTAGGATTTTTCTAGAGACTCTCCAAGTTTTATGTTCTGTAGAGTACTAAATTATTTTAAAATCTTAATTTTCTTCCAAGCCTTTCCTCCCCATTCCACTAGTATTTGCTCAAAACTCTGAGATGTCAACTATTATGTAAACTTCCTGCCATCAAGAAACAATCCCTCAACTCACTATGGAGCCCATGTGCATTTCTGCAATGGAAGCAAGCAACAGCAGGGTACGATTTTCCCAGGTGTGTTAAATACTCTATTCCCAGGAGTCTATGCATTTTTGCAGGCTCTGAAAAAAGCGTAGGAAGATTATCTGATTGGGAATGTGAGATCTCAGGATGGCTTGCAGGCCTCACTTCGGTCCACTGTAGCTACATAAAACCCAGCTTCCTACAATGCTAGGGTATGTGGAGATCTCCTGGACATCTCCTGGACTCCTTACTCCTGGATCTCCTGGATCTCCTGGACATCTCCTGGACTCCTTACCGTCCTCATCTCCTTATTTATGGCTTAAGGCTGGTTGCACTTTAAGGGACATGTTGTTTAATGCACCACAAAAATTAGATCTTTGTCACAAATTGGGTCATGGGAACAGACCCACTTTGCAGGGAGTGATTTCTGTGTCCCTATCTGATTGAATGCAGGGGTCTTAGTAACAGATCTTGTAGATGTAGGCAACCCACAGATCTGGCAAGAGAACCACTTCCATGTGTAATCCAAATTCTATTATGGCTGTCAGGAAGTGTACTTTCTTAGAAATTAATTCCCATCATTCATTAAGTCAATAACAAGTATATGGCACACAGTTATTTGCTTGTGATGTATTACTTCTTGGTACTGGGTCCTAATGGTATACTGTAATACAAACCTAAGTGTATTCACTGAGAAGCTCATTGGATTCCTACCTATTATTATTATTATTATTATTATTATTATTATTATTATTATTATTATTATGTTTATATCCCACTTTTTCTCTCTACAAGAATGTTTAAGACGCTTTAGTTTCCATATTTTTGCTTTTATACAGGTCTGTTATTGATTCAGAAATTTCAGCCAAGTGAGGAATCAGGAACCCAAAGAATACTAATTTTTACATCTCCATTCTCCATCCAATTTTCAGTGGTACCCCTGAAAACTTTCCCAAAGACAGAATGAAATCAGGAATAAGGATTAGGAAATAGAAACTACTCCTAGTAAATAGGAGGAGGCTGGGATGTGTGAATGAAATGCACTTTTTTCTTTCCTTGGATAATATTTTCAGAACTAGTAAATCACTTACTCATACAGAATTATAGCACTATTTTCCACTTCAGCTGCCTTGGTTCCATCCTATAGTGTCCTGGGATTTGCAGTTTGGACAGGGGCATGAAGAATCCTCTTCTAGTGCCTTTGATTAAACTACAAACCCCAGGATTCCATGGGATGTTGCCATGGCAGTTAGAGTGGAATACATCACTATAATTGCATCATGTGAAAGAGCTCCAGGGGCTCTTTCACACTGTGTGCTTCTGCCCCCAGCAAGGATGCATTACCCCCCAAACATCTGTATCTCAGTGCTGCCAAACAGCAGTGCTGATTTTCTCCCTGCAGACATTCCTCACTATTTTGCAAATGTCTGAGGAAATAGCTAAAGGCACAATGAACACTAGTCCAGTGCCACAGCTTCTTCAGCTACAGCGGCACAGCTATAGGAAGCAAGTGATGTGTCTATTCAAGCAAGATAGCATATCTAGTATTGAAATCTGGCATTTGACAATCTGGCGCCATTATTCAATAAATGAGGTGATACAGCGTGCAGTTTTATTTGCATGAATACAATAAGTATTTAAATTGTGGCTCTTGCCGAAGGGGATATATAAAAGCCTGGGCACTTGTACATCTCTGAATGAATAAATAATAAAATGTATACACGTTCTGACACTACTCAAAATATGTAGAATACATTTCCAGTTTTAGTCACTGGCATCTCAAGTTAAAAAGCCCCAGGTACTCATAGATATGCTCTTCCTGTACATAAATAGCATACAACTGAAACTGTATTGCTATAATTTATGCTGTATTATAAAACCTTTTGAACTGTGGCGTTGGAGGAAAATGCTGAGAGTGCCTTGGACCGCAAGGAGATCCAACCAGTCCATACTTCAGGAAATAAAGCCCAACTACTCATTGGAGGGAAGGATAGTAGAGGCAAAGATGAAGTACTTTGCCCACATAATGAGAAGACAGGAAAGCTTAGAGAAGACAATGATGCTTGGGAAAATGGAAGGAAAAAGGAAGAGGGGCCAACCATGGGCAAGATGGATGGATGGTATCCTTGAAGCGACTGGATTGACTCTGAAGGAGCTGGGAGTGGTGATGGCCGACAGGGAGCTCTGGCGTGGGCTGGTCCATGAGGTCACGAAGAGTCGGAAGCGACTGAATGAATAAACAACAATAATAAAACCCAAATTACTTTAATGAAGTCATTTTTTTAAAAAAAAATTAGATTGCCCATCAGTGTAGACTAGGCTTGCCAGAGAGAAAACTGGATAAAACTTCTGTACCTTTAGTATAAAAGAGGGAATTTCAGCAGGTATTGCTTGTTATCTGGTTACACAAATGGTAAAATTACTAGTGCTCTTCCCAGCATTAATTCCTGGTTTAATTCTTCTGAACCTTAAATAACCCATATGAATCAAACCAAGAGCTTAAAAATTGAGAAGAGGGTCCTTAGTGCTACTAGAAACATTGATGGGACCACAAATTGCCTACAAACCATAGTTTCCCATCTGTGATTTAGACAGTACTCACAGTACTGAGGTACTCATAAACTTGTAAGGAATAGCTTATACTTACAAAATGCAAAATCTTTAACAAGAAAAATAAATGTATAAAAGTATTCTGGCTGTAAATTTTGTTGGTTTATTTTGCCACAAAAGCTGCATTTATGTAAGAGTAACTCTTCTTTTCTTTCTGGCACTTCAGGGATAGAACCGCCAAAGGACAGAACCATTGTCCAGCCACAACTTCGCAAGATCTCTCTTCCCCTCTACAGCATTCTTTCCGCAATCACTATCCTGGGAATGATCATGGCTAGTGCTTTTTTGTTCTTTAACATCAAAAACCGAAATCAGAAGTAAGTTGAAAATCACTGTGGGGAACCATTTTCTGTATTGTGGGTCACCTGCTGTGTACTGTAAGTTACTTTGTGGCTGTTAATGGGTTTTAAATGCAATTGCTTGTGTTTTACTGCTTGTTGACCCTAGCTTTTACATGACCAAAAAGGAGTGTACACTGATGGCATGGGTTCATCTACACTGTAGAATTAATGGAGTTTGACAGCACTTTAGCTGTAGTGTCTCAATGATGTGGAATTGTGAAAGTTGTAGTTTTGCAAAGTCTTTGGCCTTCTCTGTCAAAGAGAGTTCTGGTGCCTCACCAAATTACATATGTCATGATTCCATAGTATTGATTCATAGCAGGCAAAGTGTTATTCTACAGTGCAGATACACCCTGTCTTAGGGCAATGTTTTATCCCAGAACCATCCATGTTTAAAAAACATGGATGTTCCTGGGGGCCTGTCTATACCCCCCTCTCCAGAAAGCGCATGCTTTCTGAGATGTGGGCCAGTCCCGCGAGAGCATCTGGATACTCGAGAACATCTGGAGGCCCTGCCACCCTTCCCTAAAGCCCCTAAACCCTTTTGAAAAGTAAGGGAAACTTATCTGGCCTCCAGTAGACTGTAGAAATGATGTGGTAGGAGAGTGGGGAGGGAGAGCAATTTTCCTTCCCCACCACCACCCTCCTGGTGTGTCATTTCCTTACTTTTCAAAGGGATTTGGGGGCTGTGTGGGAGCGGGGTGGGTATTTCCACAGTTTTCCAGACTAATTTAGTTTGGAAAACTGTGGGAATGCCCTCTGGACCACAGTCCAGACACCGGAAGTAGTGGGTTTATCCCGTGCCTTCCAAGAGGGCATGGAAGAAATCCACGGTCTAATTAATTTGCCACAAACCAGGGCTTTCCTGGTTTGAAGTGAATTAATTTGTGATTATCCAGGACATCATCTGGATAGTCCCTTCTTTATTAAGGAAGTTACCACAATAAAGGGGCTGTCTGGATGAACCTTAGGCCCCATCTACATTGCCATATAAGATCCAAATTATCAGTTTTGAACTGGATTATATTAGTTTACACTCGCGTATAACCCAGGACCCTTCCAGACAGGGCCCAAAATGTGGGCCCTGACAGACTTTTACCAGAGTCATTCAAGCGATGCCTCAGGTAAAAGAGGATTAATTCATGGCAAAGCAGGAAAACCTTGCCTTGTCTCAAATTAAATAGATACTAGGCTTGGGCGGTTTCATTCGTTAATTTTGTAATTCGTTATTAATTCGTATTTAAATTAGCTTACAATCCAATATTGAGCCATGCAGGAATAGTGTGAGGAGTAAATTAGATTCGAAACAATTTTTTCAATTTATTTCGTAATTATTTCGTAATTATTTTGTAATTATTTCGTAATTATTTCATAATTATTTTCGCATGTCTGGTGCAAGTTTTATAGTTATTGTTTGTTTTATCACACCAACAGTCAACAACAGAGGGAGAGGGAAGCTTCAGAAGTTTCCCCTGTCCCATTTGGAGGTTTTTTTTAGCATATTGCACTCAACAACAGAGGGAGAGGGAAGCTTCAGAAGTTCCCCCTGTCCCATTTGGAGGTTTTTTTAGCATATTGCGCAATCGCGTCCGCCATTAACGAATCGATTCGTAATTATACGAAATTTCGTATATTTCGAAATTTTTAAAAGGAAAATTTCGGAATTATTTAAAAAAACGAAACACAAGGGCCCCCTAAAAACAAAACGAGTTTAGAACCAAATTTTTCCGTGGTTACCCAAGCCTAATAGATACCCCTTCCTGAAAGGCCGGGTTGTAATGGGATATGGGCCTGGAGTGGATTTCTTAAGCAGGTTTAAACCCTATCTGGAAGCCCCCCAGTTCAAGGCACATAATCTAGATTTTATATGACAGTGTTGATGGGTCCTTAATTGGTGACAGAAGTAGCATCTGAGTCAAAATGTAGGACTATGACTCTAAAATTGTCACTTTACTTCTCCTGTATGAATTTTAACATTTTGTTTTATGAAATAGCTAATGAAGCTTACAAAATTTGCATGATGTATTTTGTGCATTTTGGTTGGCACAATAAAGGTATCACTGCTTTGTGGATTGTGTTTTTATTTTGCTGTTAGGCAAGAGTTACTTGAGTAGATCATTATCACCAACCACTCTCTTTCTCTTTCTTCCTCCCCATCCTGATCATTCATGACAAAGATCTGAACTGAATGCTTGTAGAATGCTTTTGAAATTAGACCAAGTAGGGCATGAAATTCATCTGAAGGTTGAAGTTTGTCTACCCTCCTTTTGGTGGCTACCTTTTACCTTATCCATCCCTGCTTCCTTCCCATAAATTACTGTGATTGGCACTAAAAAACAGCATGCAGTGATGATCTATAAAGCCAGTTGTTAAGATCCAGTCAAATTTAATCACTTCTAAGATTGTAGACTTTTGTATCTCTTTAAGAAAAGGGGTCTATTCTTACCAAACTCAGAGGGACTTTTGACCAAGGAAACATGTGAGGTTATGCATGTTACTTTCAGCAGAAGAATTAGACACATACTTTCACCTCTCCTATTGAAACTAGTGCCTTAAAGGTGCTTAATTTTGGTTGGATAATACCTAATATTTTAAAATAATATTCTATTTAATTGATGTTCCTGTATAATATCTTTGTGTTGGAACGTTTTATTAAATCCTTTTATTCTGTTAGATCAAAATTAGTGTTTTCCACTGTGTATTATTAGCATAATCCCCAGCTAATTAAAACACTGTGTAATGTAAGGAGTTGCTTTAGTACAGGAGATCAAAGACATTTAGCCATAATAATGCTCATCTAAACTTATTTATAAAGCAAGCACATAGATTTGCATATTTCCCCAATTTGCACAGAAAGCTGCTTCTCTGATCCTGCGTGAGATGGTTCAGTTTTAGGCTATTTCCCTTCAGAACCGTTCACAAGTGTCGGTGTGCTGAAATGGCACTGCCGCCTCTTCTAGGCCATATAGGGACAGCTGAAACCCTAAAACCTTATAGGCAGCAGATCCTGTCTGATCTTGGAAGTCAAGCAGGGTCAGACCAGGTTAGTACTTGGATGGGAGATTGCCAACAAATAACAGGTGCTGTAGGCTATATTGCAGAGCAAGGAACTGGAAAAACCACCTCTGAGTATTCATTGGCTAAGAAAAGCCTTTTAAATTCATGGGATTGCCAGTAGTAGTCAGAGGACTTGAAGGTGCGTGCGAACACACACAGCCCTCACTTCGTGTTCTTCTTCCTGTAGAAAAAGATATAAAAGAAACCAGTAATATCTATGAAAGTAGAAAGGAAAAAAAATATAATATTAGATTTTGTAGGTCCACTTTATCAGATGCATTGATAGTGTCCATGAAAGTTTATGCCAGGGGTCCTCAAACTTTTTAAACAGAGGGTCAGCTCACAGTCCCTCAAACTGTTGGAGGGCTGGATTATAATTTGAAAAAAGCAAACATGAATGAATTCCTATGCACACTGCACATATCTTATTTGTAGTGCAAAAAAAAAACTCACTTGAAAACAATACAATAATTAAAGTGAAGAACAATTTTAACAAATACAAAACTTATTAGTATTTCAATGGGAAGTGTGCTGGTGTTGGCCTACAAAGCCCTAAACGGTTCCGGCCCAAAATACCTTTCTGACCGCATCTCGGCCTATGAGCCCACGAGGGCCTTGAGATCATCTGGGGAGGCCCTTCTCTCGATCCCGCCTGCCTCACAGGCACGTCTGGCGGGGACGAGAGATAGGGCCTTCTCGGTGGTGGCCCCCCGGCTATGGAGCACCCTCCCTGTTGACATCAGACAGGCGCCCTCACTTATGGCATTCCGTAAGAGCCTAAAAACATGGCTATTCGAAAAGGCGTTTAACTAAGGGCTATAACAATTGGCAATGACGACTGGAACGGAATATGGATTACGAGATTGGCTTATGATTCTATGTTGAGACGACGCGGATGATTTAGTTTAATTATATGTTTTGTAAACTGTTTTTATATGTTGTACACCGCCGTGAGTCGCCCTAAGGGGCTGAGAACGGCGGTCAACAAATGCAATAAATAAATAAATAATAAATAATGTGGGCCTGCTTTTGGCTGATGAGATAGGGTTGTTGTTGTTGTTGTATGCTTTCAAGTCACTTCAGACTTAGGTTGACCTTGAGCGAGGGCTGGGTAAATAATAATAATGTTAATGTTAATAATAATAATAATAATAATAATAATAAACAACAGGGAATTAGCAAAATAAACAATACAGTTAATATAACTCACACATGGACAATAACACACAAGGATTTAAAAACCTATGGCTGGGCTAGATGGAATAGTTAAAACTTTAAAAATAAATGCTAGACATGAACAGAGGATGTATCTAGTAGGAGGGTTTTAAACGAAAAGTAGAGAGCAGCCCAATGGATAATTAAAGTGCTTCTCAGGATATTTTGCAGGGATTGTTTCCTTTATTCAGGGAAGGCACACTGGAACAGCCACGTTTTCAGGCTCCTCCTAAAGACTGCCAGTGTGGGGGCTTGTCTGATATCCTTGGGGAGTGAGTTCCAGAGTCGGGGGGCTACCATAGAGAAGGCCCTCTCCTTCGTCCCCAGCAATTGCACTTGCGAAAGAGGTGGGAGCGAGAGCAGGGCCTTTCCAGATGATCAAAGAGATTGCGTGGGTTCGTATATAGAAATGCGGTCACGCAGGTAGGCGGGTCCCAAACCATTCAGGGCTTTGTAGGTAAGAACCTGCACCTTGAATTGGGATCGGAAAATGAACGGCAGCCAAGGAAGCTCCTTAAACAGGGGGGTTGACTGCTCCCTGTAAGACGCCCCAGTTAGTAACCTGGCTGCCGACCTTGGGCTGTATCCAGCCCCCGGGCCTTAGTTTGAAGACCCCTGGTTTATGCTCTCAATTTCTTCTTGATGTTTGTTCCTTATATTTTATTATATTTAAACATTTATAGAATGTGCCTTTGCTATCTGTTGGGGTCTGATTTCAGGACCCTCGCCAGATACCAATATCCGTGGATGTTCCAGTCCCATTATATACTGTGGCATAGTAGGTTTGCTTTTCAGATTCTATTTCCTTTTGGTGAATATTTTCAAGCCTTTGGTGGTAGAATCTATGGAAATAGAATATGGAGAACCAACTGTATTTCAGGTTAAAACACAAGTAAATAAATTATATTAAAACGCCACTGAAATTTTAGAAGTGTAAAATCATTTAAAAATAGAACAATAAAATAAAAATACAGAACATAGATCCCATTTTTTTAAAAAAAAACTTCCTGCAACCTTTTCTTCATTAATGGCCTTTTTGAATGAAAATAACTTTGCTTTCTTGCAAAAAGAGACCAGACCTTTTCATCTTTGGATCTTTCCAAAGATCTTATGGAGAGACTCATATAATAAGAAAATCTTTGTTAGCCTTTATAATACTATTGGATTCCTTTATGTCTTTTAAAACTAAAATAGACTAACCTGGCTACTACTTTGAACAGTGAGAAGAAGAGTCTTTTTTTAATTGCTCTTGTCCTTCCGGGTGTTTTGTCTTCTGAGGTCACACGCTATTGCTAGTTCTTCTTTAATTGTAATCTTCCAGTGTTATGTGACTTTATACACAGTAGTTTCTGCATGTCTAATGGCTTTTCTAGCGTTCTTCTCTGAGACCCTTTCAGCACATCTCCCTTACTCAGACTCTGTTTTGTGAAAGAGCTGCAATCTCATTTGGGGATGCTCTTTTTATTATTGTTGCAACTGCTATTTATTGTGACTGTCTTCTCTCCACAGGTTAATAAAGATGTCCAGTCCTTACATGAACAACCTCATTATTCTTGGTGGGATGCTCTCCTATGCATCTATATTCCTTTTTGGCCTTGATGGATCTTTTGTCTCTGACAAAACATTTGAGACCCTTTGTACTGTAAGTAACTCTGAAGTATTTTAATAGAAACAGTTCTTTGTGTTTTGCATTAACAGGAGCCATTTCCTGTATTGTACTCCAGTTTTCTGTAGTTTTATCCAAAAACCACTTGGGCTTTTGATGTTTGAAGAAGTATGTTTCATTTGAAGAACTGTGGAGCACTTGTTATGAGGTTTTAGCAAAAGATCAGCTTTTATAATAATTATATTGCAATGTGCTGTTAAAGGAGGGGAAATTCTCCTCAAGAAACGATGTCTCTGCTGCAGTTATTTCGATCCAGTCTGTTCATATGGAGGAAGCTGGTCAAGCCCTTGGTTGAATGGAAGCTATATTTGGCAGTGCCGTTCTTGGCTTTCCCTCATGAAACCCATCTTACTACTACTACTACTACTACTACTACTACTACTAATAATAATAATAATAATAATAGTAATACACTTTATGTATATTCTTTATCTCCGCGGAGGGACTCAGAGTGGATTACGGTACACATATAAGGCAAACATTCAATGTATTTTACACAACGAACAATGGCATACAATACACAGACAGGTAAAGGCCTTCCCCTTTTAATCTCTGGTATCTGTAGGCAATTCTCAACTCCGGCCATGGGGAGGTGCTCTTGTTCCATATTCCTTGCCAAGGAGCCTGCTGTCCATAAACATCTTCAATCTTTTTTGTTGGTATGTTTGCATTGGGCACCCTTTTACCTTCCTGCCAAGGTGGTACCTATTGATCTACTCACATTACATGCTTTCGAACTGCTAGGTTGGCAGAAGTTAGGGCTGATAGTTGGGAGCTTACCCTGGCTCGCAGCTTCGAACTGCTAACCCTCCAGTCAGCAGCTTTTCCTGCAGCTAGCAGTTTTAACCACTGTGCTACCATGGCCCCTTACTGACACTTTTTACTTTGACTTCTGATTTTCTTTTAGGACACTAGTGGGCCTGTAGCAGGGAAATTGTCACCCACCCAGGTTTTAATAATAATCTACAGATGAAACTTAGGATATTAATAACTCCCTTTTGGTACGACTAAGGTGCAAAAACACTATAAAATTAAATCAGTTTTACACCACTTTAACTGCCATGGCTCAAGCCTGTGGAATCATCAGAGTTATAGTTTTACGAGATTCTAACCTTCTTTGCCAATGTATGCTGGTGCCTCACCAAACTACAACTCTCAAGATCTCGTAGTATTAATCCATGGCAATTAAAGTGGTTTCGAACTGCATTACTAATGGTTGCCTTTCCCCTGATATAAAAATATTTCCAAAGTATTATATTTATTTAACAACATTTATTCATTTTTCATGAGGTTTGAAGCAGCTTGTGTTGACACGGGAGTGAAGGGTGAGGACAAAATGGCATCTTTAAGATTTTGATTTTGTGGAGTTCTTGCAGAAATGTATGAGGAGATGAGACTTGAAAAAGTAAAAAAACCTATGAATTATTTAAGGATCTAGCTAATCAAATATTTGATTTAATCTCAGAGCATCACAGAGAGGAGTTTAAAGGGTTAAAAAAAGAAGCCTGAGTAAATATATAGTCAGTTAGGCTATAGGTTAGATAAGCTGTTGCAGAACTGGATTGATGGGTCCAAGGCTGAAATTTATTTGCACTGAAACAGTTTTATGATGTCTTTTCTCAAGATTTCAGGAGGTTAGTGCAAAAAGCAGCAGAAATCATGGATTGATTAGTACTCATAATAGGAGGGGATGGGAGGAAATCACTACTGTCAGACCTTAAAGCAGGCCTGCTCAAACTGTGGCCCTCCAGCTGTTTTGGCCTCCAACTCCCAGAAGCCTTTGCCAGCTTGTTCATTGGCCAGGAATTCTGGGAGTTGGAGGCTAAAACAGCTGCAGAGCCAAAGGTTGTAAATAAATAAATAAATAAACAAACAAAACAAACAATTCAAATAAACTGGACTTAACTGGTTTAAACACATGCTAAGCAAAAACAGGTTATCCTCCGTAGTTTTGCTGAAACTCCAGAGTAACCCTGCATTTTCATCAGGGTTGGGCAGCAGACGGGCTCCAATGCAAACCAGTCTGCAGTCCACATGGGTCAGTATTGCAATTCCCTTTTTCCTGTGCATGGGTAAGAGGGAATGCATTGCCCCTCTCACTATGGCAGACAGCTGGAGAGCTCCTGGCTGTTCTGGGCATTTTTTATGACATCATGCGATGCTCAGGAGTTTCCAGCCATCTGTCACAGTGATTGTGGGAGATTCCACACTGACTGATAATATGGGACTGACCCAGTGTCCTGGATGCCAGATTGACCCTACTTGGTAGTCCTGTTGGACTCCCTGAACTGCCTTTGAAGTGGCAGGGAGTCTTGACTGCCCAGACATTCCGGATATAGTAAAATGCCACTGGGGAGCCACCCTATGAGGCCACCTCAAATGACATGAGGTATAGTCCCTTGTTGTCCCCTCCTCCCATTTTGCAGCCATGACAAACTTACCTTACCTTCTCCTAGGCACTCTGACTGACATCAGCCAGGGTTCCATGTCACTAAGAAAACTGGGAGGGGGTAGCTAAAGCTCCCACAAGAAAGTAAGTGGGGTGGCAGCTGGCAATAGCTATGTCCCGGAAGAAGGGAATGACAGGATGGCAGTCAAGATATCGTTTTCCGGTTCCACTTGGCCAGAACCAGCCAGCTGTCTAGACTTCCCCTAAGTCAGGACGGAATCCAAATCCTAATGCAGGATTTCAATTTCCCCTTGAGTTATATTAACCTTGGGCCAGGCTGCATTAAGGGGGGCTTATCCCAGGTTAAGCCAGATCAGCCCTTTGTGGTGTTTAGCTGCCGTGGAACTGATTCACAACCTAAATGATCAGTGTAGTGACAGGAAAGGTAACAGCAACAGTCTAGCCTGGCCAATTTAGTTTCGGGTCAGTTGGATTATCTAGACTCCATCCCTACCACTGCAATGGGTTGAGGGTAAATCGTCTGAACACCACTATAGCCAGTCTGGAGCATTTTTGCTCCAGATGGCTCCAGATTTTGTTCTAGGTTTGGAAGATGAAAGTGCTTGAGAGAAAAGCTTATCATAGAATTGAAGAGATTTCCAAAGCTAACCACAACCTAGATCCACCCCAAACATCATAAAGTGCTATGGCTGTACGGGTATGGAATGCATACAGTAAAACTATCTGAGCATAAGCAAAATAAATGTACTCCAAAGTCATAAACAAATAAATACATGATAAGGATTCAGTCTGAAGAGGAAGACAGATCATTATCAACTGAAGGCCAGCTGCCAGGGAGATGGAAGGAAACAGTGAGGCATCAAACATGGTTCCTCCTTAGCAGACCAAGTGCTGCATGATTATGTCACTAGATTTAGAAATGGGTGGCGATTTTGAACAAAAATAGACATGGTTTCCCTGCAGCAGGGGTAAATATGAAGTGCAAAGACTGGGATTCAGCTGTTTCTTCAGATGCTCCTGTCCATGTCTGGGTGGGAACCATTTGGCCAAAATGTGGTTCAGATCCCACCACTATGCTGAGCAACAACAGGAGGCAAGAGAGCTAGAGTGGTGCTGTGATTTGTGTGTTGGACCCAGACTCGAGGAAAACCATAAGATAGGATTGTCTTACATTACAATCAGCTTGAAGGCTGATCATACCTACCTACCTATATACATACTGGAGGTTAACCTTGTTTACTTTCTTGATTTTAAAAGCCACTCTTTGACCTAAAACATCCCAGGGGCAAGAATACGATATAATTACCCCATCAGGACAGATGTCTTTAGAAGACACTGCCTCCACCCCAATAGCGAAAGCTCTTAGGAACCTCAAAAGAAGCCTGTATTTTCCCCACCCTGCCATAGACTAACCTAAAGAGGCATCTAGAAATGTTATAAAACACAAGGGGAAGTTAAATCAAATAAAGCAGTGAATGTATATACCATAATATTTATGAAAATAACTCTATACAAAATAAGGTAATTCTTAATCTAAAGCAACCAAAGTCATTAACAAAGTAACTAAAGCATCATGGAGTACAGTAAACAGTTGCATCATAAAGCAGAATGTAATATATACACTATTGAAAAGGCAACAGAGGATTATCATAAAATTTCAATAAAGTGCTCGTATTCTTCAGGGACTGGGGTGACCAATATAATCTTGTCATTGAACATATATGAGCATTTAGACCAGTTTGCTTTTCTGAAGTTAAATCTTCATTTATATCGAACTTTCTTATAGTTGGAAACAATTGGCATACTATCAGCTGATTCTGTGTGTTTGGTATTGGGGAACCACTGATTCAGTACATTGCTTCGCAATACTGTCATTCACAGATAGAAGATCTGGGTTATATCCTCGGTGCCATCTCCTACTGTTGTAGGATGGTGGGAGCTTACTATCATGAATAAGCGATAGTTTGTGCAGTTCAGCCCAGGAGAGAACAATCTCTCCATTTTGTCCTCTTGAGCATATCCCCTTACATGGTAGGTTGATGCTTTGAGTAATCATTTTGTTATTGCATATCACTCTTACACAGTTATTCACTTTACCTAAAAACTTGCATAA